TATAAACTCAATCTACCATAGAGCACAAATCCATGTATAATGGGTAAGGCAGTCAAGTAGTTCCTAATATAGTAGTAGTTATGTAAGGAAGAAGCTCTTCAATATTGGTATGTATAGAAGAGACTACGTACCTATGCTATGTCTGACTGTGTGGTTAAAAGTGCTATTTTATAGCCAGAAGTTAGACACATACGCGATAACTAAGTGGTTGCCATAGGGAATATCGGAAAGAAGTAGTACCTTAATCTGCTACAAAATAAGGAACTACGGCTACAAAATATTTGCTACAAGATATGGAGTATATATGTATTGGCTACTAACTACCTCCTGGGACATAGTATGCACTACCTCCAATAATGATACTAACATTATATTTCTTCAATTATTTGGTACAATTTCAAGAATCTTGTTTAGTCACTTTTGTTTTTTAGATAATTACTCCAAAAATATTATTTTTAAGTTTTCTAGTTAAGTTTAATGGTGGTTAATAGCATGCTTTTTACATACGTGCTTTAATTTTGGTGAGAAGGTGAATATAATGATTATGGAAGTATCAACTAGGTATAATCTCTTATATAGGAATAAGTAGTTGATATATTCTACCAACAATTGCAGTTATCTTATACAATAAATGTGTTAATTATTTTATCTTTGTCTTAGTTTTGCATCTTTAATCTTATGACTTTACTTCTCAATTATTAGGGATTAGATTCCATATTATGCCTATTTGATTACTGAAATGTCACAATTTTCTCTCCTTACCAGAAACATATGCATACTAAAGATTTCTTTCTATTAAAATGTTGAATTCCAAGCGAATAATGTACTTCTTTTGTAGATTTTATACCTCAAGTTGCTAAAATTTTGTTCCAGACATTCCATCAAGCTAAAGTACAATTATTTCTAATAACGTAACAGTAGAAGTGCATGTTATTCCCAGCCATGAAAATAGTATTTTCTCTCTATTTTTTTTTCCTTGGCAAACTAGAAGGAGAAAGGACTCGAACACAGGAAGCTGGCCACTCTATCAATTAGGCCACTGGGTGATACTCTTTTCTCTATAGAATGAACAAGTTGACTGAAAAATAATTTAGGATAAGTAGATTATTGTTGATTAATTAATCTCATTTTGTTGGATTTGTCTTACTAATAATGGTGTCTATGCAAAATTTCATTTTGTAGCATATGTGGATGATGTTTCTTTGTGTATGTTGAGAATTAACAATGTAGGACAAAGGGCTAGCTATGTCATTAAATTTGTTTGCTAGAAGGCATGGACTTTGGTATTGATCATCCCAATCTTTTATAAAAGTTTAAGTCATTGCTTGGACTTTTTAAGTTAAGATGTAGGTTAAATTAGGCTAGAACACAACAATTTTGAACTGTCCATTATTTGGTAGCAGAGAAAATAAGGAAAGAAGAAAAACTTTAAGATTAACAAGTTTCTATAAAGGAGTAGAATTGTTACAAGATTCCATGTTTCCTAATTTCTTCTTGTTTTCCCAATTTCTTGGCAACCAAACATAGGATAAAGTATAAGGACTTAGGAAAAGATTGGTTGAATGGACTTGTATCCAAATTTTCAGATTTTCCAATAGTTATTAGGAAGCCTTTTTATGCATAATGTACAGTTTATTGCAAATTTCAATCACTTGTGAAAGTAGTACAGCAATTATTGAACCTTTTTTTACTATTTCGTTGTTATTATTGTATATATGTTTGAATATTGTTGATGTAGCAAGTCTCATGATTGTTTTTTCCTTTATACCTTATGTGGATACATAATTTGAAACTTTGAACTAGCATTTAGAGACATCGTAGAGCATTCCTTGGCAGATTATCCTGTTAATTTAAGTTTTTCATGCGTTTCACCTATCTTTTAGATTTGATATTCATTTGTTTACAGAAAAAGAAGTCAATGGTCCAAATTTAATCAATAATTAAAACTAAGAATCTACAATCACACAGACACATTTTCTCAATCTTTTGCTCCAACAGTGAGAAGTTGCAAAGCATGACGCGCGTATTTTATTTTGACTAACAATTATGATAACAAGGCTCCAAATTTCCCATCCTCCAGAACTTCTTAAGAACTCAATTCATTTATGCGAACCGAGCTGAGTAATTGGTTTATTTGAGTGAGTCAAGTTTGATCACAACTGTTAAAAAATTAACCAAGCTCAAACTAAGCTCAGACACTGCTTCTAACCAGCCAAGCTGAGCATAAGCTCTATAAAGTTGGCTTGACTCAGCTTGTTTACAGCCTACGAAATGGCTGATCTCATACTTAAATATGTCTCCTTATAGTGGCCAGTTTAAGCTTTCACCATGTCACCTGACCCCTTTTTTTTTATCAAATATATATATATATATATATATATATATATATATATATATATAAAGTAGCATTTTGAATACTAAAGAGTTGAACTATCACAAAAATATACTAGGCCATGTAGAAATTCCCACGTCTTGAAGAACCGGCTGGCTGGTGATTGTCCCTTCCACTTCCAAAACCTTTTCTCCTTTTGCTGATCGAAATGCAGAAAGGAGAGATGACCCTGATTGGGTCTTCAATTTTCTTATTGCCCTTTAAGAAAGACAAAAAAATTAATATTTAGAAGTTGGATTTGATGTGACCTTATTTATAAATTCATTATAGGATAAATTATTTAAGCTTGAAACTTGAACGGAGACTCAAGAAAACGTCATCAGAATATCTCCCATCAGTTAACTGGACTCATGTACACATATTTTTCTGAAAGTAACATGTATGTGTGAGATTTGTCAAACCACCAAATTACAAATTCTGAGTTTCAACAAGAGTATATCTAAAGAAAACAAGGGTTGAAGTAGTTTTTAGTTTAGCATACAGTTGCCAGTTTGAAGAGAGCCTTGCATTCCTAAGCATGCTAACTCTATTTTCTTTCATTAATTCTTTCTTTATTTCTTTGTTTCTGATGCACACTTTCTTATTTCTTTACACTTAGAATAGCCTTCCTTAATTTATAATTATAGTAACATAAAAGCTAAAGCATGTGGTTCCTATTTTGTAGCATAACTACTGCATAAGACTCAGCTTAAATGAAGACTGGACTTATAAATTTGAATATCTGTGTCATGTTCGATTTTCTATTAATAGTTAATAAGTTGGTGTATATGTCTTAAGATGACTGTTCGTGTTCATTCTAGCTTCTCGTGTTTATGGTTATCTTGTTCTGAGATTTGTAACTGTAATTCTTGTTTTGCAAACTAAATCCTATTTGGTGAAAATTTTTATGATCTTTTTTATATACTTTTTTTTTATTTATGAATTTTAGTTATAAATATTTGTGAAGATAATGATTGAAACAGGATCTCCCTTTGCAGGATTTGAAAGACTAATTGGTAAATTTGGGTTGAACTTTAGTCTTGAACAAGCTGAAGGCCCTTATTGTGGATTATAATTTTTACAATTGCAGCACCTTACGGTCTTACCATATTTTAGAGTGCTTTCATCACTTCATACTGGTAAGTCATATCTTTAATTATTTAAATATATATATATATTTTTTATTCCAGTTTTTTTCATGCTAATAATAAATTGGATGTTAACCGCATGAAGCATAAATCTGTACCCAATTGTATATGAAACAAAGTACAATATAAAGTAACAAAATTTATTAATATATAAACAACAAAATTTTCATTTTTTTATTTTTTTATTTTCTTTTGTGTGTGTGTTTTTGTGTTTGAAGGTTGAAAGATTTGTGTAGTTATTCAGTTGTAGAAGCAACAAAAACACTTCCAGTGCTTCCCAAAAATAAAAATCATCATTATCATGGTGTTGTCATAAAACTTTATTTGAAAAAGGATAATTCTTAACTTATTTATTTGACTCGAGAAACTGATGTTATTAATATTTGTGGGCCAATTTGGGTGCTTAATTGGTAATTGATTGTGTGTTTGAATTTTGAATGTCCTAGATTCAAAGGGGGAAGCCACATAAACTTGCACTGAGAATGGCATAGACTTTATAAGTTGTAACCTTCCAGCACAAAATGAGTAGTTGGTAGTCCAAAACTCCTCAATTAAAGGATCACAGTGCTGCTTATTCAGTCTATTAGACAATAATAAAACTCCCAAATATCTAATTGGGAGGGTCCTAATAGAGAAATTAAGCTTTCTGAGAATTAGGTTTTGAGTAGCAGTCTCTATACCAGATCAGAATATGACACCTCTTTGCATTATTTGGAATCAAGCTAGAAATAGAAGTTAAAACTAAATTGAGCTATTGATTCTGTCAGTATTTTAACAGATTCAACATCCCAGCTGCGATTAACATAAGATCATCAACAAAAAGGTCCATTACTTATCCTCTGAGCTGAGCATTTCCAATGGTAATCGAAACCCCCTAGAGTTATTCTCTAATTAAAAATACGAGGTAGAACCTTCATTCCTATAACAAATGGTATGAGGACATTGGATCCTTCCTCCTTCCCTTATTAGGTAAACCATACAACCATTAACATCCAAGGAAAAGAACTTTTCAACAATTTCAATAAAAGAAATAAAAATAAAAACTGTAAGTGTTTTTTTTTCTTCCTTTTATCTATTCGATTGGGTTAAGTGATGCTTTATATATGCTTATTTTTGTGTGTTTTACCTATCATTAACGTGCTTAGTTGGATTAATTCCGAAGAATGTGTATTGAATTAATGAATTAGGAATATATGAGTACTCCCAAGTGCCTTTGTAAGCTAGCAGATTTGAGATTGAATCTTTTCAACATGTAATGTGTAGAAGTGCAAATTGGTAAATTTAAGTTGGACTGTTATGTCCATATATGTGCTCTATCCTTCCTTTTTGTATCTAATGTGCCTGTGTTGGTAATTTATTTGTAGATGTTGAATACCCGGTGTTCTCCAAATAAATTCAAGGAAACGGTTTGCAATTTAAGTGAAGACATTGCCGTACAAGAGATTGGGTTTGGGTCCCTTTTAGACATTGAGTGTACCATTTTGAAGCGCAACCTGTGCTTATGGTTGGTAGAACACTTTGACCCTAGAACATCTCATCTCACCCTTGAATCTGGCGCTCGGATCCATGTTACGCCAAGTGACGTTGAAGAGGTACTTGGCCTACCCTCGGGAAGAGGAGAAGATGTGCCAAATTATATTGTACAAAGTGTGCATTGGTTAGAAAATGGCATTTTTTTAAAGGACGGTGTAATAGAAGTGCCAAACTTAGTGCATCAATTAGACGTTCTTCCTGTTGGGGATGACTTCAAGAGGGCTTTTGTCCTTTTCGCTTGCGGATCACTTCTAGCACCCATATCGAAAAATGAGACAAGCAAAAGGTTATTGGCAGCGGTTGACAATGTGGATGCTATTAAATCGTATAATTGGGGGAAGTTTGTTTTAGATTGGTTGAAAAAAGGAATTGCGTCCTATAAAGGAAAGGAAGGAAGAGAAGGTTGTACATACATACATGGATGCTTGTTCTTTCTCATGGTATGTTCTAAGATATAATATTTGTAATGTGTCTATCATTTTATTTTAAATAGCTATAATGTCATTATCATAATGGCTTATATGTTGTAGCTTTTCTACCTACACCGTGTGGATGTCAATGGACCAAAACCGAAGCCTGAGATGTCATGCGTACGTGGATGGACCAACAAATTAATAGGCGAGAGGTTGAATTTGGAGAAGCATAAATATAATGGTTTCGGCTTCGGTGAGGTAAAGTTTACAACTGATACATCTGAAGATGCCGATAAGGTAATCACGTCAATTATGGCTTTTTATAATTGGTACTAAATATACGGTTATATTTGCATATTCATAATTACTTGGAACTCTACGGTTACATTTATATATTAACTGATATATATATTTATTAAACTTGTTTAAAATTGTTAGGAGTTGGCATATGAAATTATTAAAGTTGTTAAGAAATGGAAGCAACGGCACAATGTAGGCCAAGGCAGGGGGTCGAGATCCTCAGAACCCAGTTCATCCACACGACAACCTAACCCATCTTCGCAATTGTTTGCACAACACAATCCGATTGAGGAGGAAGATGAATCCCACATACCAGTGGAGGAGGAATTCGAAACCTCCACAAGACAAGCAAACTCACCCTGGCAATCTTTTACAAAACACGATCCCATGGAGGAGGAAGGAGAAATCCCCGCACCAATGGAGGAGGAAGTGGGAACCTCCACAGCAATGGAAGAGGAGCGTGATGTGCAGGAAGCAGTGATCCCTTTATTACGTGTTATAAAGCCTGGGCGCCATAAGGGATCACCTTGGGTTGAAATGAAGGTCAACCGATTGCGTATCCTTCGTCCAGAAGCAAAGGCAGTCATCTCATATGTAATACCCCTAATTTTAAAATGATAGTTTCGGTATTTATTTATTTATTTTTATTATATATTTTTTTAATTGTTTAATTGATTATTTGACTAATTGTTTATGTGTTTAATTGAATTAAGTGTTACTTGATTAATTGGCTACTTATCTATGTGTTATTTGTATTTTGTCTAGGTGTTATTTGTATTATTTGTTTAATTAGATTGTGTGCTTAAATGATGTATTTGATTAATGTTAATTAATTGTAAATTAAATATTTTCATTTCTTTTATTATTTTATTTTATTTTTCTTTTATGGTTATGGTTAGTAGTAATTGGCCAACCAATTGGGTCCCATGGACTGCTTGGATAGGAGGTTGGATAGGTATGGATAATTATCCATGGATAGTTGTATATGTATATATATAGATATATATGTATATACATATATATAAAAAGGAAAGTAATTTATTAATATTATAGTAACTTTAGTATTAATAAATAATCTGATGTATATATTTTATATATTTATATAATAAGGATATACATATATTTTATACGTAACATGTTTTAAGTTACCTTTTTAATATTATGGTAACTTTAGTATAAATAAATAATCTGATGTATATATTTTATTTATTTAATGAGAATACAGATAGATTATATACTTAACATGTTTTAAGTTACCTTTTAATATTATGGTAACTTTAGTATTACTAAATAATCTAATGTATATATTTTATTTAATTAATAATGATATACATAGATTATATACTTAACATATTTTAAGTTACCTTTTTAATATTTTCATTTTTATTTATTTTTATTAAGTTGACTTGGATTGGGAAAAGGAATAGGGTTATTATTTAGCCTATAAATACACAACTATAGGTTGAAAAAGGAGTGAAAATATATCACGTAATATATTCTAGAGAGAGAGAGTTAGAGAGAGAAGGAGAAAGAGGGAGGAAGGAGGAGAAAACCCTTTAGAGAGAAGATCAAGGAAGAAGAAGTTTAACTTTCAATCCGAAAGTTTAAGGCAAGTTCTTCTTCTATCTCTTTCCCTTTGATTCGTGTTTCTGTACATGCCTAGGAAATTCCAGGATTTACTAAACACATAAAATTAAATAATTATGCATGTTTAATTGGATTAAAGCATAGGTTTTTGTGAAATTGGGTCATATCTGTTATTGTGTTATAAATTAAAAAATGCATGATTTTGATTTGATTTCTGGTGTGAATTTTTACATGTTTGAATTATGTATTTTTCATATCTGTGGAATGATGGAACGTAGAAACATGCCTAGGATTCCTGAACATTAAATAGGGACTAGGTTTGGGTTTAAATAAATTTAAATACACTCAATCATAACGATGCTTGCTATTTAAATGTTTACACAAACGAATGGATTTAATATTTTAAAATGCTTTAGCAATTGAGATTAAATGTGTAGGATGAATTGGATATGGAGAATGCTTATTTGACGATATAATAAAATATCATCATGTATAAGATTCAGTTTGTGTAGGACATATGATATATGAGCTTAAATAAATAATAAGTCATTCATATTCTGTGATAACTTGATATCATATTATCATAGTTATTTCTGGAATGTTTGATGTATTTCTTTAATTATTACATCAATTGTTGGATTGTGTGGTTTAATGCACCGGTATGGGACGGTGGCATTCTAGGGACGGATTAACTTATCAGTTAAGTCCTACCTATTTTATATAAGGGAATGGATTAACTAAAATGTTAAGTCCTACTTATATTCAAGTCAGGTCAGCTGAACAAGTTGAATGACTTATAGAGGATTAATTTATTATATAAGGGAATGGATTAACTAAAATATTAAGTCCTACTTATATTCAAGTCAGGTCAGCTGAACAAGTTGAATGACTTATGGAGGATTAATTTATACTGGATAGGATGGTCACTAGATTTTATATATATAAGTATGGTGCCATGATATGATCTTGAGTCTCAGGATCAGTGGTTAGGGTGCGTATATCGCCAGGGATGTGTAGCTAGATATAGTGTAGTTGTGTACCCTGGTAGGTCTAGGTACTCATGCCCACTATATGTGCGTTTTGCATGTTGCCTACTATTCAGGTTGAGACAACCCTATAGTCTAGTGAGGTTCCTTTAGTGTGTATATATATATATACGGACTACTAGTTACTGTTGGATTGACTAGGATGTATACGTGTATCGGATCTCTGCTTGGACTGTAGTAGAGTAGAACTTGTTTGTGGGCCTGACCCACCATTATTTTTCAGGTGTTCGTCACGAGTAGAGGTTGTTCGTGCTGAGCGGGGATCAATCTACTTCATTCTTCCGATGCTACATAGGAATTCATTTATGATTCAGTTTCCTGTTTTAGAATACTGTCATTTATTTAGTTTGGATTTTCTAGGGGTCCACACAGTATGGATTCCCGAGTTGTATTTTGGAGGATCAGTTGTATCAGAAGAGTTTATTAATTAATGGAAATATATTATGAGGTTTATTATTAGATTATCATTTTAGTTTCTTGTCAGCATTTTATTTATTCTTCTTTATTCTTTTGTACTCTGTGTTCGTTTATTATCAATTTGTTTTGATATCCTCGGGTATTCGAGCGTGGGCCTGGCCAACCCACATTCGGAAATTCGGGGGTATCACAGTTGGTATCAGAGCACTCCAGGTTCAAGTGTCCTTAGGAGTGTCTTTCGTTATGTGACTTCCGCGTTGCGTCTCTTAAAACTTAGAGCTCATATTATGATTCGTTGTACTCTATTTACGGTTCGTTAGGAGGAGCTGATGTCAATTAGATTCTGTAGTTACAGAATGGTTGGCATTAGGAGGAGGATTGGGTTCAAGGTGAAAGCAATAAAAACCCAAAGAAGTAAAGAAGTAAGTTATCGATTTCATTGCCCGAAAGCAGAGTTAAGGATTGACGGTTTAGGTTCGTTTGGCGTTACTTTAAAAGTATAAGCCAAGGAAGGATTTAGGTGTACGTGATAGGTCACCGCATATCGGGACCAACACGACTTCAGTTGATCTCAAAAAGGAGACAAGCGAAGAGTAGGAGCCGAAGAGGATCCTAATGGAGGAGATTTATGTGCATTCAGTAGAGAGGGTACTAAATCTTGAAGATGGATGATCGCACGAGGTGATCTGAATTACTAATAGTATAGCGAATGTTATTAGTAGAATTAGGGTTGATCAATTTACAAATAATTAAGCTTTCTTATCATCTTTAAAAGAGGTATATAAGAAGTATTGTTCAGGAGTTTGGGGATCGGATGTGTTCTTATCAGAACGAAATACATAATTTTTAAATCACATACAAAAAGGCATTGGTATTATGTTGTGACGTTCTAATTCGATTTATAAAGTCAAGTAAGACAGTTTACATTCCGCATATAAGGAGGATGAGGGTTAAGCCCTTGGTATTTGTTTAGGAAAACATTTGTGCTTTTAAGCGATGTTTTAAAGGATATGTTTCGAGGTTGGATAATTATTTACGAAACTATTAAAGGAAATTTTGAAATAATCTAGTAATGTTGATTTCAAAGGAGACTTTCTTTTCTAGAAAGAACGATGTCCTAAATAGGAGTATATTTTGTTTTATTGTGTTTATCATACGTGTTTTTTTATTTTTATTTTTTGTTAATTACTCGGGATTTGGTATGCGGTTTAGTTGGGGACAGAAGTGTGTGATCAGCCAACTATTAATTTAATAACATAACATGGAGTAATAGCGCTATTTACGCTAGATTTGTGAGTGTACGGTCGTAGGATTTGGTAGATACACATAAATCTAGTCAATCTATTGGACCTGGACATGTGTCATTATGGTGTGTTTTGGGATGTGATAATTAAACCATCACTACGAGTCAAACAATCTAGAACGATTAATTTGATATACTTTACGTTATGTATGGATTCGTATCATATTACAACGCCATGATATTGGTGATTGTTAATGTTTCGGTATACTTGAGGTAGTGGTAAATAAAGATCACTAAAACGCCATGATGATATATCAGAGGTGCTAGATTTGCTAAATATCTTCTTGAAAATTTCAGAAGTTGTTACCAAGTCAGAAGGAGGATTTAGTACTGGATTAAATACTTATTAGAATGACACCGAGTGAGGATAGGAGACTGAATAAATATTTATCAGTCTATTCTTAATCAAGAATTTTATTCGTGAGGGCGTGTCATTAGGAGGAGTTGCCGGTGTTGCATATAGAGGAGGAAACTAAGTCTTATTCACTTGCATAAATAATATGAAATTTTTTTTTTTAGGTCACAACTTGCAACAATTAGCTGTTGCTAGGAAATTAATGACTTATGTGGAGGATGGAAAGATTTCATATTCTTTTGAAGTTAGACAAAGAAGTTGGATTGACACTAACTTGTCTTAAAGAAGCAGGGTGTGTCAAAGATAAGATGGTAAGACCAAACACCTATATAAAGATGAGGTGCATGGTATATATGGAAAGGTCGTAGTTTGTTGACTTTTGTTGAGTTAAAGTCATAGTTGACTATTGATAAATGGAATTACCGATTGACTTTCAATATCGGTAAGTTTATCACAGATCAGTAGTGGATAGATTGAGTTGCAGAATTCGCTTTTGAAGATGCTCCAATTTAAACAATGGGTACAGACGAAAACTGGTGGTACCGGAATAACAGTACTTTCTGCAGACAAATTGGATGGAGGATGCAAAGACTGAGTTTCACAACTCTTAGTTCTTTATTCACCCTAGTAGAAACATGATGATTCACAGTATGAAGCAGGTGTTTGGAGGACAGGCAGGAAGAGGAATATAGTGTTTTTTCTCTAAGTCTAATATTTATTAAATAGTAGAGATGGACCATCAGAGATCACTGGATTCTTGCAGCTATTTTCTATACTGAAGTGGAAATGACAGAGCATTTTCACGGATTTAGTTGAGGGATTGCTGATTTGATGCAAGGGTCAGGATTCTAGATGGGATATTGGTTGACTGATAAAATTAAATCAGTTTCATTTTATCTATTTTTATCAAGCTGGTAAGATATCAGTTCATACGAATATAACGGATCACGAGACGGTTTAGATAGATAGAAGTGGTAATTCACACTTTATATCAAGTTCCGTCTGGTAGAAGCAATTATGGAAGTAGATGCTCTTAACAAATGATAGAATAATTAGTTGTTGAGTTATTAGATGCATTTATAGCAAGTGTAATAATAACACTTGTTATTACTACGGTAGTTGAGGAGTTCAATTTTGAATATCGGAGCTGACCCTAGAGAAGGTGTTACCTTACTCAGATGGAGTTTAAGGTAGTGGAGGAGGAGTTAGTAGTTTCTATAAATAGTGATATGACGGTCGAGCGACTGAGATGGAAATTTATAATTTTTTTTGGTACACCCAGACGGTTAGAAGGTACATCACGACATCAAATGTCAGTTTTGGTGAACAGGTACGGATAGGGACGTGTCTATAATTGCCCTAAGTGTAAAACCTGCTACAAAGGTGGAAAGTTGATCATTAGATATCATAGGAATCTTTAGCCACTTCCTATACCAAATATGGAAGTTGAACTAAACAGGAGTGATAGTCGGTGGGAATGATCGACATTGATTTAGAATTTCAATTTTCCATATGGAATCCGAGTGGTGGATTGAGAAAGATTGCTTGAGGACATAAATTTGAGTGATGCTTCTTTTAGAACTTCATAGTAGTTTTATAGTTCAGTGATAGTGGTGTTATAGCATGTGGATGTCCATATTAGTGGATGTAAAGTGCTATTTCGAAGGAGCTTTATGAAGATTTTAGAGTAGCAGCTCTACTTCATAAATATAGACGGGGGAATTAATCGAGAGATAAATTAGACCATAAAGGATATGTTTGAGGCGTATATCCTAGATTTGCATGGACTGTTGGAAGAATTTACTTCACTTGTCGGAATTTTGTCTGTGATATTGTTGGCACAAGGAGGTTAGTGTGACAACTTTGGAGGTTTTGTATCTTTCACAATGCATACCTCTCATTTGTTGGTTGGAAATGGAAGTAAGGGTTGTACAATTAGACCTCGACTTCATTTAAAAATATGTCGAAAATAGATACTTCCCTTTATATTGAACTGCGCGCGGTTGGGAAGCAACAGTAGGATGTTGTAAATAGTTGAACTCGTATACTAGAGTTTTTCTATCAGGGAGTAGTTTGCTCGTTCTGTTTTCTATGTAGGAAGATAGGCGATTTTTGGAGAAAGGTCAATTTTACTTATTACATTGACTTTTACACGATTGTGTTTCGCAATTGAGGCAGTCACCTCTGACTTAGCGTTACCAAATTATTAGCGCTGGGTGCATAGGAGTTTGTGCGTATATTCTATGGCACTTGGAGGTATGTAGATCATTCCCTTGTCGACATAGGAGGATTACGTTGTTATTTGATACAACCTACGCATTGTATGATTATTGTGTTTCTTAAAATATAGGAACTCTGTATACCACTGGGTATATTAGAGTTAAGTGGAGCCCTTATAGTGAGGTTGCGTCTATTTGGGAATATGATGATGTTTTTCGCTCACAGTTTCCAAGCATAATAGAAGAAAGTAAGGGCGAATTCCGAGGACGGAATTCCTTTTATTAGGGGGGGAGAATGTAATACCCCTAATTTTAAAATGATAGTTTCGGTATTTATTTATTTATTTTTATTATATATTTTTTTAATTGTTTAATTGATTATTTGACTAATTGTTTATGTGTTTAATTGAATTAAGTGTTACTTGATTAATTGGCTACTTATCTATGTGTTATTTGTATTTTGTCTAGGTGTTATTTGTATTATTTGTTTAATTAGATTGTGTGCTTAAATGATGTATTTGATTAATGTTAATTAATTGTAAATTAAATATTTTCATTTCTTTTATTATTTTATTTTATTTTTCTTTTATGGTTATGGTTAGTAGTAATTGGCCAACCAATTGGGTCCCATGGACTGCTTGGATAGGAGGTTGGATAGGTATGGATAATTATCCATGGATAGTTGTATATGTATATATATAGATATATATGTATATACATATATATAAAAAGGAAAGTAATTTATTAATATTATAGTAACTTTAGTATTAATAAATAATCTGATGTATATATTTTATATATTTATATAATAAGGATATACATATATTTTATACGTAACATGTTTTAAGTTACCTTTTTAATATTATGGTAACTTTAGTATAAATAAATAATCTGATGTATATATTTTATTTATTTAATGAGAATACAGATAGATTATATACTTAACATGTTTTAAGTTACCTTTTAATATTATGGTAACTTTAGTATTACTAAATAATCTAATGTATATATTTTATTTAATTAATAATGATATACATAGATTATATACTTAACATATTTTAAGTTACCTTTTTAATATTTTCATTTTTATTTATTTTTATTAAGTTGACTTGGATTGGGAAAAGGAATAGGGTTATTATTTAGCCTATAAATACACAACTATAGGTTGAAAAAGGAGTGAAAATATATCACGTAATATATTCTAGAGAGAGAGAGTTAGAGAGAGAAGGAGAAAGAGGGAGGAAGGAGGAGAAAACCCTTTAGAGAGAAGATCAAGGAAGAAGAAGTTTAACTTTCAATCCGAAAGTTTAAGGCAAGTTCTTCTTCTATCTCTTTCCCTTTGATTCGTGTTTCTGTACATGCCTAGGAAATTCCAGGATTTACTAAACACATAAAATTAAATAATTATGCATGTTTAATTGGATTAAAGCATAGGTTTTTGTGAAATTGGGTCATATCTGTTATTGTGTTATAAATTAAAAAATGCATGATTTTGATTTGATTTCTGGTGTGAATTTTTACATGTTTGAATTATGTATTTTTCATATCTGTGGAATGATGGAACGTAGAAACATGCCTAGGATTCCTGAACATTAAATAGGGACTAAGTTTGGGTTTAAATAAATTTAAATACACTCAATCATAACGATGCTTGCTATTTAAATGTTTACACAAACGAATGGATTTAATATTTTAAAATGCTTTAGCAATTGAGATTAAATGTGTAGGATGAATTGGATATGGAGAATGCTTATTTGACGATATAATAAAATATCATCATGTATAAGATTCAGTTTGTGTAGGACATATGATATATGAGCTTAAATAAATAATAAGTCATTCATATTCTGTGATAACTTGATATCATATTATCATAGTTATTTCTGGAATGTTTGATGTATTTCTTTAATTATTACATCAATTGTTGGATTGTGTGGTTTAATGCACCGGTATGGGACGGTGGCATTCTAGGGACGGATTAACTTATCAGTTAAGTCCTACCTATTTTATATAAGGGAATGGATTAACTAAAATGTTAAGTCCTACTTATATTCAAGTCAGGTCAGCTGAACAAGTTGAATGACTTATAGAGGATTAATTTATTATATAAGGGAATGGATTAACTAAAATATTAAGTCCTACTTATATTCAAGTCAGGTCAGCTGAACAAGTTGAATGACTTATGGAGGATTAATTTATACTGGATAGGATGGTCACTAGATTTTATATATATAAGTATGGTGCCATGATATGATCTTGAGTCTCAGGATCAGTGGTTAGGGTGCGTATATCGCCAGGGATGTGTAGCTAGATATAGTGTAGTTGTGTACCCTGGTAGGTCTAGGTACTCATGCCCACTATATGTGCGTTTTGCATGTTGCCTACTATTCAGGTTGAGACAACCCTATAGTCTAGTGAGGTTCCTTTAGTGTGTATATATATATATACGGACTACTAGTTACTGTTGGATTGACTAGGATGTATACGTGTATCGGATCTCTGCTTGGACTGTAGTAGAGTAGAACTTGTTTGTGGGCCTGACCCACCATTATTTTTCAGGTGTTCGTCACGAGTAGAGGTTGTTCGTGCTGAGCGGGGATCAATCTACTTCATTCTTCCGATGCTACATAGGAATTCATTTATGATTCAGTTTCCTGTTTTAGAATACTGTCATTTGTTTAGTTTGGATTTTCTAGGGGTCCACACAGTATGGATTCCCGAGTTGTATTTTGGAGGATCAGTTGTATCAGAAGAGTTTATTAATTAATGGAAATATATTATGAGGTTTATTATTAGATTATCATTTTAGTTTCTTGTCAGCATTTTATTTATTCTTCTTTATTCTTTTGTACTCTGTGTTCGTTTATTATCAATTTGTTTTGATATCCTCGGGTATTCGAGCGTGGGCCTGGCCAACCCACATTCGGAAATTCGGGGGTATCACATCATATGCCATGGATGAGAGCAGAAATGATGAGTGAGAAATTATATAAATAATTTCTTATTTGCTCTATATTTACTTACTTTCTATGCTCAAACACTTAATATGTTATTGTTTAATTATAGTGAAATGCTGGTGAACATAAATGATATTTTCCTCACAAGAAAAGAGATGAGAACAATCTCTTACAATCATTGGATATCAAATATGGTATGTTCACTTAAAGTTCATTGATTTTTCAAACCAATCACACGCATGCATTAATGGTTTAAATGTGATCATTGTAGGTGGTTGAAGTCTATTGCCAAATGCTCCAGCTGAAACAAAAGCGTAGAGGAACCAAATTTTTCTTTCCGCCTTCGATTGGGGTAACAAATTCTTCTATCTATAGTGAATGTTTGTTTGACACATATTAGGTTATCAATTGTGTGCATTTTTAGATTGAACTTTCCAAGATACCTTCAAAAGTGGTTGATAGGAAAGGTAAAATACAAGCAGTTTGGAACAAGTATAAAAGGATAAGGAATGTCGATGATAACAAAGTTTGCCAATTCAATATGGTAATATTTATCGCTTGCAAACATAAATAATTATTATACTTTTATCAAAAAAATATGATTCTAAAAGTAATTAAATTTTTACATTGTTAAATATGCAGCTTTTCTTTCCAATACTTGTAAATGAGAAACATTGGTGCTTGTATGTCTTTAACATTTGCGATAGTCGTATGGATGTGTTGGATTCAATGAAGCAATGTTCGCATGATAAGCGTACTCCAGACAAGATGTCAAAAGATTTGGTAAACGCTTATTACATATGAGCTCATTTTTTTGATTATGTATTCATTTACTGTTAAATTAGGACGGTAAAGTATACAAGTTGAAGAACGTGGTACTGAATTTTTTACTCTAATCATTTATATATTGTGCATTTGTAGGTAATGTTGGTTGAGGTATTCACCGGAAGAGATCTACAAAACTTCATATACAATGTGCCCAACGTACCTCAACAGCCCGATAGGTAATTTTATCACTTAATGTTCCTAGTTTGGTGTACTGATTATGTTCACAATTATAATTAACAGATACCTAAACAGTCTTTTATTCAGTGATAGTTGTGGTGCTTTCATGTTGGACTTCATGGAGAAATGGGATGGTTCACTCAGTCACCCAAAAGAGAAGGTGAAGCCCAATTCTATTTTTTACATGGGTCTTATTTATTTTTTTCCCCGAATGAAGAAAATACCGAATTACTAAATCACACAATCTCCTCGATACTCTTCGTTAATCATTTAATTCTCTGTTTTCTTCTAAACCATTGGTGCATTGTTAATCTAAGCACCCACTGGTCATTAGTCTTCAAAGGAAGAAATGGGTCTTGCCTTTAAAGGTTTCAAAAAATATATTTGTAAAACTGATCCACATTCCTACATACTTTTGTTCAAGGGTTGAAACTGGAGGGTCTTCAATTCCAATACATGCAAACATAATTTAAAAAATTAATGCAACCACAAAATGCATCCACTATAACGTTTTCCTTCCTCTTCACTGCACTCCCCATTCTGTTTTTACACGTTTTCCAGCTTATACCTTTCTTTTTTCTTTTTGCATCTTTTAAACCCATGTTTGTGTGCAAGTACTTCGCTTTTTCCGATCTCTCCCCGCTAGGCTGCAATGTCGTAGTGTCAATAGCGGGAAGACCAGGGGACTATGGCACGTGTTGAAACAAAGAGAGCGGTAAGCACCCCCTTTAGGCAACAAAATTTTCAACCTTAGAACCCCCTAATGCAGTATACCCTTAATGTGTGCCATTTTTTTGAAAGAGAAAGCATCCAGCTCTAGTGAGTACGGATCTAACATGAAGTAAGCAATAAAATGAACCATGTAATGAATGATATAGAAAATGTTTGACATCCACTGTATAATGGGTCCTATCGAGTAGAAACCAGCTTTGCTAGATGAGGTTTAAATGAATAGCATATTCTTAAATATTTTCAGACAGTTTTTCATTGTCAAAGAATTCAGTATGAGATCAGTAGCTTAAATCATCAGTCAACCTTGTTTTTCCTACATCACCTAACCAATTAGATACGCAAATACTGGACTCCTGTCATTTTAAATGAACATATTGCAGTTTATATGGTCACTTCACTGTACTTAGTGGTGCTCATTAAAAATGAACCGAACACAAAAGATACTGAAACTACGACATATTGAAATGAATGACTAAAAAATTTCAAAATAAATAGTCACTTTAAGATTACTTTTGGAATGTCAGAAAAAGGTGCGTGCCATTGAGTGTTTGGAATCAGTAAAAAGGGATAACTATTTTGGGACAGGGAGATCTTTCGTATTATTAGATTTGTTTTGGTTTTGTTTATGTTCTGTCTCTGTGCTGATCTGACCAAATTGCTAACATATTTCCCAAGGATGAAGCTACCTGTTTATGCAATATTTCACATATAAAAGTTTAGTATCACCGAGATTTTGTGCATATGCCAAATTCAACATTGTTGAAAAAGTTTTCTTTATCAAATATATAGTTTTTGCAACACTAGATTCCTATCTATTTACACTTATATGTATTCACGCATGAAGTCCATTTCCCTATCCTATATTCATGATTTGTCTTTACCTGGTTTAATTTGCAGGTGGATGTTGATAGATTACGTGCAATTATTGCTTCAAATTTGCTTTCAGATGACAATAACAAAATGAAGGATTTTGTAAAGAACAAAGCACTTTATCCATTTGGTTAAGCATGTTGATTTCAAGTAAGCTTCCATCAGCTTACTTGTGGTTAGTAATTTTTTTTATTTTTTTTATTTTTATGATTCTAACATCACCTCCATCAGCCAACAAGGTACCATTTACCTCAAGGAACCTCACATACCAGTATTTGCCCAGTTGGAAGCTAGAGGAAGTGGGATAGGACGATCGTTGAATTTTCTAAAAAGTGGTACCTGAAATGATGTGGGATATGGGACATTTGTATTGTTGAATAGTGTCATTTTTTTTTTCATGTATTTTGCACTCTGTTGGTGTTAGCTATTTTTAAAGTTTTAAAGAATAGTAGCTTTGCAACTTTTGATTGTGGATTAGGTTGGTATATTTTTGCAACTATTGTATGGCTTATTATATTGGCATCTACCTTACATGAAATCAAATGAAGTTGCTCTTTCAAATGAAGTCTCAATGAAATTTCTTTCACTACTATATTAATGTACTAATTTCAAATTTGATGGAGTTTAAAACTGAAGCAGTTTATAATGAATGAAAAATTGGTTTGGATCTTCCTTGGTTCCATGGTGTCGATAAATGGATAGTTTAATGAATGAAAAATTGGTTTGGATCTTCCTTAGAGAAAACGTGGTACCTTGACGCCAAAAAGAAGTACCTTCAGTTCAAAAAATGTGGTCCCTTTGGGAAAAAAGTAGTACCTTTACAAAAAGGTACCTATTTTTGCAATTGAAAATGGTATTACACCCCACATCGCTAATTAAGTTGCACATTACATCCACAAACAGCTCCATTAGCGCCATCAATAAGTGTTTAGAGAAAACGTGGTACCTTGACGCCAAAAATGAGTACCTTCAGTTCAAAAACGTGGTACCTTTGGAAAAAAAGTGGTACCTTCGCAAAAGGAATTTATTTTTGCAGTTGAAAACGTGGTTTTATACCCCACACCGCTAATTAGGTTGCACATTACATCCATAAATAAGTGTTTAGAGAAAACGTGGTACCTTGACGCCAAAAAGAAGTACCTTCAGTTCAAAAAACGTGGTCCCTTTAGGAAAAAAGTACTACCTTTACAAAAGGTACCTATTTTTGCAATTGAAAGTGGTATTACACCCCACATCGCTAATTAAGTTGCACATTACATCCACAAACAGCTCCATTAGCGCCATGAATAAGTGTTTAGAGAAAACGTGGTACCTTGACGCCAAAAAGTGGTACCTTCAGTTCAAAAACGTGGTACCTTTGGAAAAAAAGTGGTACCTTCGCAAAATGAATTTATTTTTGCAGTTGAAAACGTGGTTTTATACCCCACACCGCTAATTAGGTTGCACATTACATCCATAAATAAGTGTTTAGAGAAAACGTGGTACCTTGACGCCAAAAAGAAGTACCTTCAGTTCAAAAAACGTGGTCCATTTGGGAAAAAAGTAGTACCTTTACAAAATGTACCTATTTTTGCAATTGAAAATGGTATTACACCCCGCATCGCTAATTAAGTTGTACATTACATCCACAAACAGCTCCATTAGCGCCATGAATAAGTGTTTAGAGAAAACGTGGTACCTTGACACCAAAAAGTGGTACCTTTAGTTCAATAACATGGTACCTTTGGAAAAAAAGTGGTACCTTTGCAAAAGAGATTTATTTTTGCAATTGAAAATGGTTATACCCCACACCGCTAATTAGGTTGCACATTACATCCATAAATAAATCCATTAGCGCCATGAATAAGTGTTTAGAGAAAATGTGGTACCCTGACGCCAAAAAGAAGTACCTTCAGTCCAAAAACGTGGTACCTTCACAAAAGGGACTTATTTTTGCAATTGAAAATGGTATTACACCCCACAGCACTAATTAAGTTGCACATTACACCCATAAATAGCTCCCGTTAGCGCCATGAATAAGTGTTTAGACAAAACGTGGTACCTTTTTTCCAAAAAGTGGTACCTTCAGTTCAAAAACGTGGTACCTTTGGAAAAGAAATGGTACCTCCGCAAAAGAGACTTATTTTTGCAATTGAAAATGGTATTACACCCCGCATCGCTAATTAAGTTGCACATTACATCCACAAACAGCTCCATTAGCGCCATGAATAAGTGTTTAGAGAAAATGTGGTACCTTGACGCCAAAAAGTGGTACCTTTAGTTCAATAACATGGTACCTTTGGAAAAAAAGTGGTACCTTTGCAAAAGAGATTTATTTTTGCAATTGAAAATGGTTATACCCCACACCGCTAATTAGGTTGCACATTACATCCATAAATAAATCCATTAGCGCCATGAATAAGTGTTTAGATAAAATGTGGTACCCTGACGCCAAAAAGAAGTACCTTTAGTTCAAAAACGTGGTACCTTCGCAAAAGGGACTTATTTTTGCAATTGAAAATGGTATTACACCCCACAGCGCTAATTAAGTTGCACATTACACCCATAAATAGCTCCCGTTAGCGCCATGAATAAGTGTTTAGACAAAACGTGGTACCTTTTTTCCAAAAAGTGGTACCTTCAGTTCAAAAACGTGGTACCTTTGGAAAAGAAATGGTACCTCCGCAAAAGAGACTTATTTTTGCAATTGAAAATGGTATTACACCCCGCATCGCTAATTAAATTGCACATTACATCCACAAACAGCTCAGTTAGCGCCATGAATAAGTGTTTAGAGAAAACGTGGTACCTTGACGCCAAAAAGTGGTACCTTCAGTTCAAAAACGTGGTACCTTTGGAAAAAAAGTGGTACCTTCGCAAAAGGAATTTATTTTTGCAGTTGAAAACGTGGTTTTATACCCCACACCGCTAATTAGGTTGCACATTACATCCATAAATAAGTGTTTAGAGAAAACGTGGTACCTTGACGACAAAAAGAAGTACCTTCAGTTCAAAAAACGTGGTCCATTTGGGAAAAAAGTAGTACCTTTACAAAATGTACCTATTTTTGCAATTGAAAATGGTATTACACCCCGCATCGCTAATTAAGTTGCACATTACATCCACAAACAGCTCCATTAGCGCCATGAATAAGTGTTTAGAGAAAACGTGGTACCTTGACGCCAAAAAGTGGTACCTTTAGTTCAATAACATGGTACCTTTGGAAAAAAAGTGGTACCTTTGCAAAAGAGATTTATTTTTGCAATTGAAAATGGTTATACACCACACCGCTAATTAGGTTGCACATTACATCCATAAATAAATCCATTAGCGCCATGAATAAGTGTTTAGAGAAAATGTGGTACCCTGACGCAAAAAAGAAGTACCTTCAGTTCAAAAACGTGGTACCTTCACAAAAGGGACTTATTTTTGCAATTGAAAATGGTATTACACCCCACAGCGCTAATTAAGTTGCACATTACACCCATAAATAGCTCCCGTTAGCGCCATGAATAAGTGTTTAGACAAAACGTGGTACCTTTTTTCCAAAAAGTGGTACCTTCAGTTCAAAAACGTGGTACCTTTGGAAAAGAAATGGTACCTCCGCAAAAGAGACTTATTTTTGCAATTGAAAATGGTATTACACCCCGCATCGCTAATTAAGTTGCACATTACATCCACAAACAGCTCCATTAGCGCCATGAATAAGTGTTTAGAGAAAACGTGGTACCTTGACGCCAAAAAGTGGTACCTTCAGTTCAAAAACGTGGTACCTTTGGAAAAAAAGTGGTACCTTTGCAAAAGAGATTTATTTTTGCAATTGAAAATGGTTATACCCCACACCGCTAATTAGGTTGCACATTACATCCATAAATAAATTCATTAGCGCCATGAATAAGTGTTTAGAGAAAATGTGGTACCCTGACGCCAAAAAGAAGTACCTTCAGTTCAAAAACGTGGTACCTTCGCAAAAGGGACTTATTTTTCCAATTGAAAATGGTATTACACCCCACAGCGCTAATTAAGTTGCACATTACACCCATAAATAACTCCCGTTAGCGCCATGAATAAGTGTTTAGACAAAACGTGGTACCTTTTTTCCAAAAAGTGGTACCTTCAGTTCAAAAACGTGGTACCTTTGGAAAAGAAATGGTACCTCCGCAAAAGAGACTTATTTTTGCAATTGAAAATGGTATTACACCCCGCATCGCTAATTAAGTTGCACATTACATCCACAAACAGCTCCATTAGCGCCATGAATAAGTGTTTAGAGAAAACGTGGTACCTTGACGCCAAAAAGTGGTACCTTCAGTTCAAAAACGTGGTACCTTTGGAAAAAAAGTGGTACCTTTGCAAAAGAGATTTATTTTTGCAATTGAAAATGGTTATACCCCACACCGCTAATTAGGTTGCACATTACATCCATAAATAAATCCATTAGCGCCATGAATAAGTGTTTAGAGAAAATGTGGTACCCTGACGCCAAAAAGAAGTACCTTCAGTTCAAAAACGTGGTACCTTCGCAAAAGGGACTTATTTTTCCAATTGAAAATGGTATTACACCCCACAGCGCTAATTAAGTTGCACATTACACCCATAAATAACTCCCGTTAGCGCCATGAATAAGTGTTTAGACAAAACGTGGTACCTTTTTTCCAAAAAGTGGTACCTTCAGTTCAAAAACGTGGTACCTTTGGAAAAGAAATGGTACCTCCGCAAAAGAGACTTATTTTTGCAATTGAAAATGGTATTACACCCCGCATCGCTAATTAAGTTGCACATTACATCCACAAACAGCTCCATTAGCGCCATGAATAAGTGTTTAGAGAAAACGTGGTACCTTGACGCCAAAAAGTGGTACCTTCAGTTCAAAAACGTGGTACCTTTGGAAAAAAAGTGGTACCTTTGCAAAAGAGATTTATTTTTGCAATTGAAAATGGTTATACCCCACACCGCTAATTAGGTTGCACATTACATCCATAAATAAATCCATTAGCGCCATGAATAAGTGTTTAGAGAAAATGTGGTACCCTGACGCCAAAAAGAAGTACCTTCAGTTCAAAAACGTGGTACCTTCGCAAAAGGGACTTATTTTTCCAATTGAAAATGGTATTACACCCCACAGCGCTAATTAAGTTGCACATTACACCCATAAATAACTCCCGTTAGCGCCATGAATAAGTGTTTAGACAAAACGTGGTACCTTTTTTCCAAAAAGTGGTACCTTCAGTTCAAAAACGTGGTACCTTTGGAAAAGAAATGGTACCTCCGCAAAAGAGACTTATTTTTGCAATTGAAAATGGTATTACACCCCGCATCGCTAATTAAGTTGCACATTACATCCACAAACAGCTCCATTAGCGCCATGAATAAGTGTTTAGAGAAAATGTGGTACCTTGACGCCAAAAAGTGGTACCTTTAGTTCAATAACATGGTACCTTTGGAAAAAAAGTGGTACCTTTGCAAAAGAGATTTATTTTTGCAATTGAAAATGGTTATACCCCATACCGCTAATTAGGTTGCACATTACACCCATAAATAAATCCATTAGCGCCATGAATAA